CGGGGGAAGACACCTATTGAACCGAGTAGATGGAGTGGCTGCTGGGTAAGGGGGCAGAAGCCGAAGGGAACAAGGCACACAGATGCAAGACTGGAAGCAGTAACACTGGGGACCAAGGAGCACTGGAAACTTGACATATTAAGTGGTTCAGGAGCTGGCTATGATTTTAATCACTTCTTTGATTCATTCTAATTAGGGCTACAACAATGTGTGTCTGTTAAGTGCTACCTTCACTTTTTTATACTGATCAGGAAACTAAACTCTATGCCTATAAAACAGGTGTGATTTTGTGCTTCATATGTTCCAAGTTCTGTTTCTGGTGCTACTGGTGAGATGACAAACCCTTCCATGTATCCCAGTATTTCTACTGTGACTTTAGGCCATTTAATTAGCAACAGAGGGGCAAACCATAGCTCTCTCCTCCTGTGGATGTTATTGCTATGCCACTCTCCACCGTCTTTGAAAGGTCCTGGAGAACAGGAGAGGTGCCTGAGGACTGGAAGAAAGCCAGTGTCACTCCAGTCTTCAAAAAGGGCAAGAAGGAGGACCGAGGAAAGTATAGGTCTGTCAGCCTCACCTCCATCTCTGGAAAGGTGATGGAAGGGTTCATCCTGGAGGCCATCTCTAAGCATGTGGAGGAAAGGAAGGTGATCAGGAGTAGTCTTGGATTCACCAAGAGGAAGTTGTGCTTAGCCAATCTGATAGCCTTCTCTGATGGAATGACTGGCTGGGTAGAGGAGGGCAGAACAGTGGATGTTGTCTCCCGGGACCTCAGCAAGACTTTTGACACTGTCTCCCATCACATCCTCCTAGGTAAACTCAGGAAGTGTGGGTTAGATGAGTGGACAATGGAATGGATTGAGAACCGGCTGGATGGCAGAGCTCAGAGGGTTGTGGTCAGTGGTGCAGAGTCAAGACGGAGGCCTGTAGCTAACGGTGTCCCCCAGGGGTCAGTCCTGGGTCCAGTCTTGTTCAATGCATTTATCGATGACCTGGAGGAAGGGACAGAGTGCACCCTCAGCAAGTCTGCTGATCATACGAAACTGGGGGGAAGAGTGGCTGATACCCCAGAGGGCTATGCTGCCATTCAGAGGGACCTGGACAGGCTGGAGAGATGGGTGGAGAGGAACCTCCTGAAATTCAACATAGGCAAGTGCGGGGTCCTGCACCTGGGGAGAAATAACCCCATTCCCCAGGACAGGCTGGGGGGTTGACCTGCTGGAAAGTAGCTCTGCCGAGAAGGACCTGGGAGTGCTGGTGGACAACAAGTTGACCATGAGCCAGCAGCGTGCCCTTGAGGCCAAGGAGGCCAATGGTCTCCTGGGGTGCATTAGGCAGAGTGTTGCCAGCAGGTGGAGGGAGGTGATGCTGCCTCTCTACTCTGCCCTGGTGAGGCCTCATCTGGAGTACTGTGTCCCATTCTGGACTCCCCAGTACAAGAGAGACATGGAGCTACTGGAGAGAGTCCAGCAGAGGGCGACAAAGATGACGAGGGGACTGGAGCATCTCTCCTCTGAAGAAAGGCTGGGAGAGCTGGGCTTGTTCAGTCTAGAGAAGAGAAGACTGAGGGAGGATCTCATCAATGTCTACAAGTATCTGAAGGGGGAGGGTGTCAAGAGGATGGGGCCAGACTCTTCTCTGTGGTGCCCAGTGACAGAACAAGAGGCAACGGGCACCAACTGAACCACAGGCAGTTCCATCTGAACCTGAGGAAAAACTTCTTTCCTGGGAGGGTGACATGGCACTGGACCAGGTTGCCCAGAGAGGTAGTGGAGTCTCCTTCTCTGGAGATATTCAAAACCCATCTGGAGGCAATCCTGGGAAATATGCTCTAGAGGTCCCTGCCTGAGCAGGGGGGTTGGACTAGATGATCTCCAGAGGTCCCTTCTATCCTCAACCATTTTGTGTGATTCTGTGCAGTGTGCCACAGGCTACAGGACAGCATTGTTACATGCAATCCTTACATTCACACTGACTTTAACAACTCTTTATGGTCAGGTGGGAAGGGCAGTCAGTTACTCTGAAAGATGTATGAGTTCTTTTCCAAGCTTTCTGCTGGTGCACTGTGTGAGTTATGTAAATAGATACCAAATATTTGGCTACCACTTAAGCACTTTGGTAAAAGCACCAGCCAAAAAAAAAAAATCTTCAACTTTTTTTCTGGAACTCTAGCCTTAATTCTGAAGTGCTGAAAAGGCTTTGGAAAGAGTCAAACCATAACCTACTAGTACATTAGTTTTCTATCTCTCTCTTTGACAGCTATGTGTGAACAGTGTTAATTCTTATCTGACTTACTAGGCAGTGTTGCCTATTCTTATCTTTTGATTTCTTGCTGTGCTGAAGAATGACTCTTGAAACCTCTTTATGCGGGGATTAAATCTGTTTGTTTGTTTCTTGATGACGCTCCCGGACTCCCTGCCTACTGAATGATATGAGGTAGTATTTGCTTGTCACTATTAGTTTCTAATTAAGCCATAAAGTCTCTCAGACTCAGTTTTTTTGAGAATAGGTGTTTTAAGATGCACAAACAGACATGAGTCTTTTCTTGGTGAAGCTATGGAGAAATTAAGTTATTCAAATCAGATACGGACACTTCCTGGACTTCTCTTTGACTTGGGAGAGCTAGTGCTTGCCCTTTACTTTGCTGCTTACAACAGTTCCTGCAGGAAAAACCTAGAGCAGAGAAATCTGAGACAGCAGCTGCTCCAGGATGAGCAGACATTTGGCTGAGTAGCCTGTGCTGGATTTGTTTTCTCCTCATTTTTTCAGGAACCTTAGTCCTTGGATCAAACTAATTAGTGCGTGTTTGGATGTGTCTCCCATTGGTAGTAATGCAAAATGAGCACCATCTGAGCACTGTGTTAGCAATCTCTTATGAAATGAATAAGATTCACTCTCATCCCTAGAAGAGTTGTGTTCGACCATAGAAAAAGTCGCCCAGTTCTCCACCATCACAGATCCTGTGCTTTATGGCTATGGGTCAGACAGCTCTAACCTGCTAAGAGGCTTATTTACCTTTTTCTTCATTGATCTGAGTCCATTTTCTGCTTCCCTATTTGATCCTTTTGCATTCCTCCTTTTCACTTTCCATGCTGCAAAAAAACCCCCCCCCCCCCCCCCCCGCCACCTCCCCTTCTAACTCTGTAGGTGAGTGCTCTCCATTGACCCTGAGCTCATCCTTTGGATGTACTCTGTGAATCTCACCACAGGTATCCACTCCCTTTGGCGCTGAGCCAGCTGAATTCTGTGGGATATTGACAATCTGTTGAAACCACAATGAAAGGTAATGATGAACCTGGCACTGCTGTCAGCCTATGTGCTTTGTCTAGCATAAGTAACATGTGCTGCTAAGCTGCAAAACACCCAAAAGGATTGTCTGAAAGCAAGGGTTTTGGATGACTCTGAGTCTTTGTTATTGTCTGGCTGTGATACACAAAAGCAACTGTCAGTGCTTGTTTTATTTTTAACAATCCTTTAATCTATTTACCAATTTCAAGGATTTCTTTGAGTTGCTCTAAAACCCACCATAGGTTTTTGGTTCATGCTTGGCCATGTTATCTCTTATTCCTCATGACCAGCTCATTTAGAAGTCTGCATGAGAACTGAATCATCCCATCTACATCCATCAACTACCATCTGCATAGCAGTCATTAGAGGGGTCAACAGTGTGCAGGTCTCCATTGCTAGGAACGCTTACTCTTGGTTTCTTTCCAGGACAGTTTCTTCATAAGAACCTGCACGTCTTTCTTGACTGCCTGTACTTCTTGGGCCTTTGAGAGTCTTGTTTCCATTCCTTTGACCTTTACCTTCTAAAGGTAAAAATCTTTCTGCTTTGGTTAATATATGGTTCATTTTTTCACCTTTTCTGTATCAATCACATCAGGAGACATGGTTTAGCTCTGAGCAGGGGAAAGGCTTTTTTATTTTGCCATTCCTGATTGATCTCTCCTAAAGAGCTTATGTGGTCAGAGAGAAGTCTCCTGACCACAAGAACCGCAGCCTGCATCATCAGACTTCAGAGCCATGTCGCTTTTGCTGGGACCTTGGCTTCGTTCCTTACCATGGAGGCAGCGTAGCCTGTGCTTGTGCTTGTTGTGTCCTATTCCAAGACAGAACTTGGTCTGAGTTCCTTATTTTGTCTGTTTTAGTCTCAGAGACTCTGCCTTCTTTGGCCTGACCCAGCATTTCCCTTTCCCTGTGTTTTGCTTGTCCCGGATATTTTATACTGCAGCTTCTGAATCTTCTTCTCCCTGCTCCAAGCTCTGATCTTACTTGCTACCTACAATGTCTGAGCTTGTTGCTGTTAAATTCTAGAGCTATAATCTTTAGGCTTGAGAGCTGTCCTGGTAGGAGATCTTGCATACAGACTTTCTTGTTTTCTTCTCCCGTCCACTATCTTTCAGCAACCTGAAGAATTAAGAAATCAGTCTGTAACTGCTGATGGTTCCCCCTTCTTTTCTATCCCTTTTTCCTGTAAATGTTACTCTAACTAGACTAGATGACTTAAGAGGATTTTTATGTCTAGTTTGCAATTGTTTTCGTTGCATTTAGTGTGTACACATTGCAATATTTACACTGCACTTTCAAAATGTACTGCCTGTGATTCTGCAGTTGAGATACTGGAGTGTGAAAGAGACTCATGTTCACCAGTTTCTGCTAGTGTAAACAGTCAGGATGCCAATTAACAGGGGCCCAGTACTCTAACATGTGTAGGCATATCTACAGAGAGAGAATTCATGATGTGGTAGTGTGGGATAAAGTCAAACTGCCACGAATTTAAGATGGATCAGAGACATGGTGTGGAATATTTACAGAGCATGCATATGCAAATTTTATCTAGGCTACAGAGATTGAATTTTGTGTAAGCTTTTATAAATATTTTAGAAGTAAAGGGGAAAAAATACAGCATTTTATCTTCTGCCAAAGGGCTGAAAGGGAATAATGATAAATACCCTAGAATGATCTGAAGGAATTCTTGAAAGATTTGACAACTATAGGTATAAAAATCCTATACTCTTTAAGACCTTTGGGTCTGAACAGTAATTTATTTCCAGAAAAGTCTAGGAAGTTGCACTATCCTAATGATAGCTTTCCAGTTTTGCAGTAAAGGTAACAATCAAAATCTGACGTTTCATGCATTCTTTGCTACTAGGAGCCTAACGCTGCTTTTTAACTCTCTTTTTTTTGCCATGGGTCATGTGTAATTCTTTGTTTATATAGGGAAGCTATCCTTGACTGGTGGGCAAGGGAAAACATTTTCACACAAGACTGATGTCTTTTTTTAAAATAACATTGGTTAGTAAAGTTAGAGCATCTAGTAGTAGGATTTTGGAGCTCTGATGAGGAGAAGGGAAATAAGAATGTTGAAGTACATGCAAAAAACTAAACTGTTCACTTATGTTATTGTGCTACCTATATGACTCACTATGTGTGTAAGTAAGTAAAGTGTAATTGCTTCAGTATTTCTACTCAGTGAACAAGAAGTTTTCCCTCTCAGGAAAAGAAGCTGACATTTTTATGAAGCAGAAGGTAACTGAATCCTGTTAGCTTCTCACACACAGTCAGTTCTTTGCTCCTTTGCATCACTGAGCACTCAGATCACCTGGAGTCACTTGACTGTGTTTCAGTGAGCTTAAATTTGCTCTATGTCATATTAGAGCAGAATTTTGCCTCTAGACATCAGTAATAATCTTCATTACATATAAGAACTGTGGGGTCATCTACATTTATTTGTGGTCATGCTTAGCTCATTGTATGGTCTTAAAAACACATCTGTGATCCACCCTGAAGTGTTCTCTTTTGTTCTATTCTAGACTGCAGAATGAATTAGAAATGATGTGGGTGAGCCAGACCTCTGAGGATCAAACAGGTGAGTGATGTGACACTTCTGACTCAAATAAAAATGAAATGGTCCAAATTAGGGTACTAAGGTGTCCTAAATGATTTGAAAGAAAGCCAAACCAAAAATTATCTCAGATGCTGATTTTTTTTTTCTAGTAGTATGATAAAAATGTGCTGGCACCTAATGAAGTCAGGCGTATAACATATTTCTTTCATTCCTGGTCTCATCTAAAACCTGTGGATGTCAATGGGAGACTTTCTAATGCTTAAGGAACCTAGACAGCTGCCAGATTGTCTCTAGGAGTCTGTGACTGATTCTGTCACCGTCAGAGTCACAACACTGGTGAGCTAAAGATGTCTCAGAGACTGTATGCAAAACCCTTCAGCTGGCAGAAGTGTGATAACTGGATTTCATGCTTATCACGGGTAGGTTAAGCCCTGAATCACGTGATTTTATAGGCCTTCCTAAGCTTCTTTTCAGCATTCACTCTATCAGTTCTGGATGCTCTAACTGGCCATACAAAGCTCCAGATCTTCTTGGGTGCTCACTAGGTTCCTTGGTTTAATAACAACAGTGAAGTATACAGTCTGCTTATGTATTGCTTGAGAAAGCAGTGTCCTTTGATAAGGCCTTTGATCAGTGGAATCTGGATTAGGACCTTTGAATTATCCATAGTAAGGTAACATATGTAAATCTAGAAAGTTGGGAAAGGGAAAAAAGAAAAACTGAGCGTTTCATGAACTGGTTAAAATCTGGTAAACACCATCAGGGTAGAAAATAGTATGACTGGTCTAATCACATATTACATCTGCATTTTATTACTTTATTGAAAAACTATATTCAAAGTGGTTTTCTTCCAGAGCATGAGAACATACTGGTTTGCAAGTTATAATGTAGTAAATAAGGAAATAGGTGTTTAAGTCGTGATATGAAATGCCTGATGTCTGATAGCACAGCTTTGATGAAAGAGGAAGATCTAAACCTGCTTTTTCTACAATGTCTCAGCAGCCCAGTGTCGTACTGTAGGCTGCATGGAGTTGTTGGCTTCACCATGTGCTTCTTACTACCGTTATCTAGCTTTTGTTTATAAACATTTTCAGTAGGAACAGTGCTGCACAATCAAGCCAAATTCTGCTTTTTCTTTTTTCCTCTGAAATTAAACTGGCCCCAATTCCTCCCCAGTGTAACTGTCTTCATGTCAATGCATGTATGCCTGGATGCAGCTGCCACGATTGTGTTTATTTCTACAGCATGGTAAAAGTTTTGAATTCCAAAGCTTTGCAGCTAACCGTTAAAAAAGCCATAAAATCAGTCATTGGCTCTAGCTCTCCTGCAGGACTAATGAATAAAACAATCAGAAGTTTCTAGGCCAAGGCATTTCTGAGAAATGATTTTGCATAAAATGAGCTAAAAGACATTTAAGCAATGGGAGAAGGTTTCTCCCTCTTCCCCTCCCCATCAGGTACTGATTTCAAAAATACTTGTTCAGTTAACCTCACATTTCCCCTCTCCACCTTCCTCAATTATGCACTAAAGAATCAAAACCAGCCATGTCATAAAGACGTAAATGTTGTTGTTCTTCCTTTTGTATTATAGCTGTATTTAGAAGCCCCAGCCATGAATGTGGGGGTCTAAATGCGCTAACAAGTGCTGCCACTTCAGAAATCAAGGCTGTGCAAAATACTTGTTTTTTGTTTTGGGAGGTGGGATGCTAAGCAATCAAAAATATTTTCTCTAAGTTAATTTCAAATGAGAACTTTGTGGTTTTCCCAAGGGAAAAGAATGGAGATTTGATTTTTTTTTGAGTTAAATAAAATGTTTTCCTAATCCTTTCTAAATAAAAAGACACTACCTGATTCTCTCCAAGTAGCATTTCTGTAAACCTCTACCAGGCCCGGTAGCCATCCTGACCCACAGAAGGGACACACTTGCTATCATTTTCATCGGCTTATGCAAAAGGAAAGGAGTTGTGCAAGGCTGGTGGCAGTTGGCCCTTGGGGCAAGGGGAGAGGCAGGAAGCACAGTTAGGTACTTTCACCATGCAAGGCGGCACACAACTCAAGTCAGGCTCATGCTCTCTTTCTCCAGTCTGCCTCATTTTTCACCAAAGCTGTCAGCCCTTACTGAACTATTGACTGCATGTAGATAGATACTGCACTGCAGACCAGAGGGAGGCAGAGAGGGGCTTGCTGCCTATCAACAGGCTGCTCAGCAAGTAGGAAATCTGGGATCACAATAGTCAGCCTTCAATCGTTAAAACATCCTTATTACCCAGCACAGTGGCCTTGTCCTGAATCTGACAACAGTGCTCAAAGCCGCTATATTGCAAAAGTGGCTAACGAACTACCATGGGCTTTGAAAGGCCTTCGAGCTCCAGGGCAGCGCCTGAGCCACCAGGATTTTCTTGCGCTGCTCACTGCTCTGGTTAGCCAAGGAGAGCTGGACCACTGGCAGCTGCCCCTTGCATGGGGGAGACAGACAGCTTCTTCCTCTCCCTCTTCCCTTTCTCTTTGCCACTGCCTTCCCTCCCTCCCAGCTTTCCGCTCTCTGAGCACTCAGGAGCAGCAGAGCCCGGGAGGTGTAGCCCTGTACCTTGACACCTCTCCTGGCTGCCCCACTTTCCGCAGCCCCCCCCTTTCAGAGGAGCACGAAGAAATGAACCCACATGCGAGAGCACAGTGCAACCTGGAGGTGCAGTGCTGCCAGGGGAGAAAGCAGTTTGTTTGTAAAAGCCCAGACTCGATGGCTGATGGGAGGCTGGGTGGAGGCAAGGACACAGCTCCCGCCATAGTGAATCAGGTACCACCAGCAGGCTGTGGGTAAGCTCACTGAAAAGCTGTAAGAAACCAAAGAGATTTTGACTCAAACGAGACCCTGGCTGGGCAGGAGGGTGAGCTGCCCTTTAGGGTCTTGAGGGCTGGACATGGACCAGGTAGAAGAGGCAGAGCCACTGTGGCAGCTCCTCCTGCGGAGGTGGCACTGAGCAGGTAGCACCTCAGGGAGCCTAGCCCGGGCTTGCTCCCCACCAGGGCTGTCAGCAGTTTGGACAGAACCAGTGCCTGCTGTTGCTGAGATAAATACTCTGCTCCATTTGTCCTCGTGGCATTTCATACTGTTCCCAAGTCTGCTGCTCTGCCCTAGACCACATTTAGTGTTTATACCCTCTGTCTGATAAAAGGGGTGCTAGTGTAGGGATGTGCTGAGGGAACAACAGACCTTACAGTCTTGTGGGCAGATTTTTTTTCCTGTTGGACATTTTAGCTTTGAGCTGGGATTACTGGAGGAAGGATTTGGTATTTTTTTTTGAGCAGCCATTTAATGTGACATGGCCCTCACACATTTACCTTAAGATGCTATCTGTTTAAAGCTCAGATGCTCACATTATTGACTTGCTTTAGTGTGGGTGACAGTGAAGTTGGCCCAGAGAAAGCTTAAGTGCATTTTCTGTACTCCTAAGGGAGTATGGCATGTATGCTCTTCTTACATGCTGTCACCAGTTCTCCACGCTGGTGGGGGATGCAGCATGGATTTCCTTCTTGGTTGTGTCCCCACTGTATCCAGAACCTGTCATATTTTTGAATGAAGTGTTTAAACGGCCTCGGCTGGGGTGCCTGTGAAAGGTGAGTAGCACAGCTGGTGTGGGCCAGGGGTCAGTCTGGCTGAAATGAAGTGTGGGTGCTGCAAGTATGAGCACCAGCTGAACTGGGGGCAATGTTGTGGGTGCCTCCGGCCTGTACAACTTGGCTTGGCTAACTCAAGCTTGTCCTTGGGTATGGCTACTGCAAGCACTAGAGCCGCAGCTGTAGAGACCAGGGAGCTTTCACCACCACCTCTGCGTGTGCGTGTTTTAATGCTTCCAGAAAGCTGTGGTGACCATGAGACAAAGGAGGTAGTAGGAAAAACTCCCTCTGTTGCTGAACAGCTTGAATCAATGAGGTGTAAATTCTCACTACATGGGAGGAAATGATGATACTGGAGACTGAGAAGAAAAAAATCATGTCTTGTGCTGGGATGGTAGATATGGCAAACACTCTCAGAAATGTAGAGGCAAGAAATCATTAATTCTAAACACTTCCTAGCAAGGATTCTTGAGGAGTACTGATGTCCAGGTGCTAGCAGGACAGACTCTTTAGAACTGAGATTGGCACCCAGCAGTCTTTATTTTCTCCTCTGAGAACATAACATATACCTAGTCCCGGTCCTCCTCCGGCTCCAGTCACCACAGTGTCCAGCCTCTCACCCTATAATAGGGTGCTTGGTGGTTGACCCTTACTGTGGTCTACAGACATAGGGGTTATTTCAGCATTCCTGTTACAAGCTGAGGTTTGTAACCACATAATTGTTAAACAACTAGAGCATCATATTTTTAACCTGTTTATTTCTCAGCCAGTAAGGTGGTAATGATGCCCACCAATGCAATGGTTCTGGGTAGGATTTTCAAGTATCCTGAGCTGGCTAACTCATCCACTCTTGAAATCAATGCTGAAAGGTCTAATGACTTCAACAGGGACAGTGATACCACAGTGCTGATGATAGTCTGTGAAATCCCATTTCTAGGCGCTTAAATACCTGCATGTGACTGCAGAGCTTTCACTTGGGGTGTAAATGACCATATGTGAACACATTTTAGACACATAAATGATGGTTAGGTTTTAAATCTAGACTGAGAAAAGGAGGTCTGTGATGGATTGTTGAGATTAACTAATTGACTTTTAATAAAAGAGAAAGAATACAAATATTAACATGCATACTTGTTACAGAGTAGTGTTATTGCTTCTTTTTTTCTAGTACAGTAAGCACCATCGTTATTACTTGAGCTCTCATTGTGACTGGTGCTGTACAAAGCAAACAGTGGGGGACAGGCCTGTACTGAATACTATACAATCCAAGGTACAGAACTTGCAGAGGTGTATTTATGTGCTAAAAACTGCATACTGAGAGTGGCCTGTGTGAGGCCCACTTACACTATAAAAGTTAAACACTTGCAAATTTCTGCAGCAATGGCACATTCAGCATTACAACCAGTATTCCTTTCCTACTGGCAGTTATGCAGTTAGAAACAGTGCAGGATCTCAATAAAGCCACTTTTAACCTGTCCCTGTCACTGGTTACGCTAATAAGAGTTCCAGCTGTGTTAAGTGAGGAGGTAATTTCATGCAGCTAAATAGAAGCTAAAAAGTACAGTCAGCGTGAACTGGGAATAACATGTCACTGTTAACGGTGGGCAAACAGCAGACTGTTTATGCAGAGCTCGGTTTTGGATAAGCATCTGGAAGGTCAAACATTTCTCCAAACTTTCTGTCCCCTGAAGCAGGATTATAGCTGCTGACAGGACATCTAATCCATTTAATTATTTGAACTGAGAGTAAAACAGAGCAGCCAAAAAGTCACAGGAAAGCTGAGAAAAACTGTAAAAACACTCAACGCAAAAACTGCCCAAACTCCTTGTTTTTGTCTTTACCAGTTCAGGCAGAGAGACTGCCATTGTGTTCCTGTGTCATGCCTTTAAATTGAAAGATATGTTCAAAGTCGCTGTTTTGCCAGCCAGCTTTTTCAACAACTCCTTGTGCTGCCACCTGAGAGCACAAGACAGAAAAGTCTGTCACTTGTTTCTAAAATAATCAGCAGGTCTCCAAGCATCAGTGGGGGTTCGGGGAGGAGGTGAAACTCTTGATTAATTTAGACAAATGTACTTAGTATCGAGATGTTAAAACAACGAATAACAGCAATTGCTCATGACAATTCCCATGCTTTGATGGCAAACAGGAGATCTTAGGCTCTATGCACCTTCAGTACAGTGCGTGAGGGGTGCTCCTGCAGCGACATAAGAAATGTGTATACGAACTCTGGTCCTCTAAACAACTAGTTACTCTGAAAAGTTCCTCTCCTTGCTTTTTTTAAACTAGTTTCAGAGGGTCTTTAAATATAAATTGCTAACTCTGTTGGGTGGGGCTTTTTTTGGACTGGGCTTTGTCTGTACTGTAATGAAAAGGGACAGTCAGCAGATGGCAATGTTGTATAGTTGTTGCATCAGGAGACAGCCACCTCATCAAGGGAGGGAAACCTCTGATACTCCATAAGTAAGCCAGGAAGGGAAGTGGAGGGGCCCCTGACTGAAGAGTTAGCCCTCCACGGATATTTTGGCTGAATGTTTGTGTAAGCTTACTGGGTTTTTGTTACTACTTGTAAGAATAATTCACCATTTAAATCATCTCTCCTTTGAAAGGGCAAGCACATTACCATTTAAGAAGAGCAATCTAATTAAACTAGTGCTTTTCCATATTCTTTTAAAAACATGATTTCATAATGCTGCATAAGTACAACGTGTACTTCCCCACACAGATTGCATTTTTAAAATAGATAAGTGAGTTTGATGCATTTGCTTTTGCTGAAACGTTGTATGACAATTTAACTGACCTATGATATTGCCTTTTCAGACTGAAACTATGAAAATCAACTCATCAAACATATTTCTTCAATACCAAATAAAAGTAAGTTATTTCCTTAGAACACAGGGCGATTCGGGCATAGTGCAAACTAACTTCTACATGCATTACCTTCACTAGGTCTCATCCCAAAACACTGGAAAGCTTCTCTTTGGCTTCAGCAAGTTCCAGATTAGGACTGCTGAGAACTGCCAGCTAGAAAGCAGAAAGGTACTGGATATGTATTCACCTCATTTTTTACTGCTGAGGTAGAGCTATCAGTGTACTTTGATCCGAATATGTAAACTAAAGCTGCAAAAGCTCCCATTTTCCAACTGTAGTGAAGGCACTGGAATGAGGTAAGAGAGCCTGTGATAGAGAGCTCCAGCTTATAAAATCCATGGAATAGCTCAGCAAGAAAAACTTGGAAAGACTTCTGTAAAACACAGGAACTGACAGATGCGTGAAGAGAGAAGAAAAGTGAGTAATAGCTTGAATAAAACAGTCTTTGGTTCAGAAGATAGTTCACTGAACACTCTGAAGCCTGATGCTCTGTGTTAGTACCCAAAAGAGCAGGTTTCGTTTCAGATGTTAGTAATGTTAAATACAAAGCTAGTTACACCCAAACAGAGTTTTGTCTAGCAGTTGCCTCTAAAAACCACGAATGGACATGTATGCTGAAAGATAAAAATCAAATATTTGTATAGAAGTAATTGGTTTAAGAAAACCAATGCTATAAACACCCTTCCATGTTTATACATTAAGACCAGGTTCTGCTGTCTGTAGGGTTTTCCTCATGGTATGAGAGTTGGCAAGAAGTGAGATGTTATGTCACACTCAAAGACATGCATAACTTCAGATGTAGTGCTAAATTAAAACTCCTGTCGCACAGGATCTACTTACTATAATTTATGTCAAGGTTAATGGAGTAAAAAGTATTGCAATATTTTAAATGCTGATCAGACACATTACCAATTAATATCACTGCAGATTTGTTCTTAGCCACTGAAGGATATTTCAATATTTCTCAAAATTTATGTCTTTCTTTTTTACAGGAAGTTGAAGGCAGTATCACAGAAATTTTAGATAAACTGCGTAGCACTCAGGAAAATCAAAAGTGAGTTTGTAATGTTCAAGTGTCTTATGTCATTGTGATTACACAGAAAGTGTTAGAGTGATGGAAACTCCTGTTACAATAACTTGCTAGACCAAAGTAAGAAAGATTAGTTATTGAAGCAGATGCATTCAAGTGCTACTTGCATAGCACATACAGTAGCAGGTGGGAGTCGTATTCAGATAGTATAGATTTGACTTCAGTACGGCCCAGAGTGTTAAACTAAGAAAAAATAGTAGTGGGAATTATGCTTAATTGATTGTTTCAGTTACTTGTTTAGATACAGAACAGACAAATTACTTGTGAAAACCTTTTAAGCTTTCCCGCAGTGTCCTGCCAATGTTTTCTCACACTTCACCTGGAGGAATTCTACCCCTAGTGTGTTCTGACATTGCCCACCAGGGCCAATTTTGGTAACTTTTTTGTGATATGCATTTTTTTGTATTGGGAACTGGCTTGAAATTCCTAGACTTATTTCACATAACTGTTTCTTCTTTTTCTTTTTTCTATGGGTTTACAGAGTCAGTCTCAAGCAATTGAGTTAGCTTACTCTACAAAGTTAAAGCATGTGCCTCTGGTTATTAGCGTCACCAATTAGTAGCAAACAACGAATTTATTTGTTGCTGTGGTGCTTGCAGTATTTAGTTCTATCCTAAGACTCTATTTATTCCTGCCATGTTTTGAATATTCAGAAGCCTTGGATGAGGAGTCATCCAAGGTGAAACAGCAAGGAAGAGAGGCTCTCTGCTTAGACAGCCACCGTTAATGCCATGAAATGCACATACTCAGATAGGTACAAGCTTTAACGTACACAAACAGGATATATGGCATATTTTTTATGGTATCAGATTGGTGTGTTTTAAGTGCTGCTCACAGGTTTACTTTTCAGACCTGCAACGCAGTTTTACGAAAACTGAACAAACTTCAGCCATAGCTAAAGCTCAATATGAACTGAGAAATTAGATCTATAAAATAGCTGAAAGTCCAGTTTATTGTTAGAATTTAAGGCAGTTTTCAATATTTCGGAGTTATCTCCTGTTATTGTAATACTCTGCTAAGTGAGTGGTTTCTCAAATTTAGATGTCAGGACTTGTGTTTTGTGCCATAGGGCACAAAACCCCCTGTTGTGTTTGTCTGTGAGTACAAATCTGTGAGCTGTACACTTCCGTACACAGTTATGAGATTGGTGGTAAAAATCCAAAATGATACTTACAGACTCAAAAGAAATTGATGCATTAATATAGAAAAGAATGATTCTATTCTCATCTTGTTGGCAACGCTTGGGGTTACAGGGGGTCTGTTTTGCTGACACAGCAGATTTTTTAACCTTTGAATTGTGCAAGGAAAGTAAAAAATCCTTAATGTTTGTTTCAAAAGTCGTGAGTCTTAGCAAAACAGAACCCTAAACTCAGACGTTATGAAGATTTTCAACTCACTTCTAACTTAAAACAAAAAATGCTAGATTCTAGGAGTCTATGCAATCTTAAAATTAAGGTTAAGCTTCAATTAATTAATTTACTGTTTATGGTTGTTAATTAAGTTAGAACTGCCAACGTAAGAGTTCACAAGGTGGTCAGTCTCTGCAGTCGCAGTGCTTTTGGAGGATGGCAGTGCGAGTTAGCTCTCAGTTCATGAGCTGCTACGGAATGATCTAAGGCCACTAATATATGATAATTTCGTGAACATGGAAAGTGACCTGCTTTATGATATGAAGCTACGGTATATTATGTTGTTAAAATTTCCTAGATGGATGCATTCATTAAGCTTAATGAGGGGAAGGGGAGGAATTGGAAGAGAATAACAGTAAAGCAACGCATGAGATCTAAATAAACAATCTCCCCACAAACGATGTGGAAAGCAGCTCCTAGACAGCAGCATGTTTCTGGCCTCCTGCTTAAAGTTGCAAGACTTGCTTTGCCAGAGTCGACTGCTAGTAGGTCTAGAGCTTATGGACAATTACAAAATTACACGCTCCCTAGGTAGAGAAAAGTAGAAGTGTGATTTGTAGGCTATGCAAGATTTAAAGTGTCAGTCTTTGGAGCAGGTGGAAATAAAATAAGGCTGTGATATAGAGAGAAATTGTCACTGCCATGTTAGAGGTCAGAAGAATTTAAGGTGCAGTTGCATAGACATCTGATAAGATAGATATAATCTGTTGTTTTAAAGCCTATTCTACCTGAAATGCTTTAATTTTAAATACGCAGTGCTTGCTTGAGGAAGGTATGTTGGTTACTGACGGTTACATTCGCTTCATGTACTGAATGTAAGTCAGGTCAGCTGAGGTAGTAATTAGTGAACATACCGGACCTGTATGAGTGGGAGAGTCCTTTGATCCTTCTCTTCAGAAAGACAGTGATGGTCCATGGTCTGAGAAAGTGTACAACAGGAAAGATCTAAAGTCTAGGCCCATAAGGCCCGTAAAACAGGATCCCGGTTGCATCTGCTTAGAAATTACAGGACAGTGCATTTACCTACTTTTTAGTATTTCTTTGATTTTGAAAGGCAGGATAACATTTTTAATTGGAAGGGGAACAGAACTGCATAGACCAAAATCAGTGTCGTTTGATAGAGAAAACTTGGAAGGAAATGGAATGCAATTCTATCCAAAGGGATAAGAGCAAGTATTTTGTGAAAAGTTAAAATTTGGGAACATCATTAAAATAGAACCATCGGTCAGCCGAAAGGTTATTAGAAATAAAACATTGAGGTAATTAGTAGTAGATATAGTTGAATACAAGGTTAATTAGTCTCATTTGTATGATGTTAATTATTAAAAGTAATTAGCCCTGAGATACTTAAGGAAGTGTTCTCACTAAATGTTTTAAAAAATGTAATAGAAAGAATCTAACATTTTGCTTCCAGCAGAGCTTATGTATAAATCCTTTCAAGATGCACACTGCCTTGGGATATTTGCATAATAAGTTGCTTTATAAAATAGATGTCCAAAATTCTGCCCTCCTAATGTTACAAATCACATTTCTAGAGCTGACATTATTCTCTTTCTCCAGGACAAATCTGGGATACTGAAACAGTAATAGTAGCATGAGATTTCGAAATCAAAGCCTGTCTTGAGGCATAATTGAAGTAGGTTGTCTAATTGTCTGAAGTTAAAACTGTATCATCCTTTGCCCTTAATGCACATAAGATAATTTAGATGACATTTAATTAGAGGCAAAGCATAGATTAATACTTACTTAATATCTACAGCAGAAGCTTCCCTGAGCTGCTCAGAGATTGTCCAGTGCATTGGGGGCAAGTATTTAGCCTGTGTCTACAGCTAAATAAAATGCTTGCAGCAAACAATTTACTAAAAAATCCTTTATTTTGTAGTGCTTATTTGCTAAATTAAAAATACTCAAAATACAAAAGCTCAAATGCTCTTGTATTTCTGTAAATGGATAAGTTAGGTCATGTAGTTTTATTTGTTTTCCTGGTGGGATGGTTCTGCCCACACCTCTACTGCAAATAATGAAATTCCTTTTGGGTTTAGCTTTCTGTTCTCGTTTGTATTAGTCGACTGTCTCACTCAGGTCTTTTTAGAAAGTGACCAGAACAAAGCTACAAAATTAGGTGAAACACTTTCATTTTAATGTGAGTAAATGTTTATAAGGAAAAAAGGCCATGTATTTATTGTCAAGTCTTAATGCTTGCGTGGATCGCTGCTTGATCCAGGCCCGCGTCATTGTAGGGACGGAAGGCAACAGGAAAGCAAGCTGTGCTGTGAATAAAAAGAGGTCCACACTTAGCAGTAGAAAACCATACGGACCAGTGTCGTGAATGTGAACCATCTTTACTCTCAGAGAATAATGCCAGGTCTAGAAAATATCTCTCTTGGTATTTGTTCTTTGGAAAGATCGGGAGGAGAAGAGCACATCTTTACATTCCAGAGCTGCTGCATCTAATCAAGAAGAGCATGCAGGGCAATGGTAGCAAAAAGGGTTTCCTCAGTTCTCCGCCTAGATCCATTCCAACAAATTTCAGTCATCTAAGGTAGCGAGATGTTAGTGAGGATGAATCATCACTGGTGATGAATCTTTCTGTCTCTATAAGTAACCTCAAGTGCCTGAAGTTAGCTGAGCTTGGTCTTAGTTCCTTTTGTATGGCTCATAATGGGAAGACTCCCTGACACTGCCTGTGCTGGCACCCAGGTGTTGTCTGTCACTAACGTTAAGTTTCATTTTCTGCCCACTGATTGTGTTCTTGTATATTGTGTTTTTTTAGGAAGGTATGGGAATTGATAGAGATATTCTTGTTACTTGAAGAAGAAGAACAAGCTTCTGAGAATCCAGAAGAAAATAAAGGCAATGACGTGTAGGAAGATAAATACCTTCTACCTCAAATGTATTTTTAACATCTTGAAACTGTGCAAGTGGAACCCAGGCTTGAAAAACTACTATTGGATCTTAAAATCAAATATTATAATGTAACTTCAAAATCAGAAATGTGATTCCATTTTTGCATACTTTATTGTGGATAGCTATACTGTCTGCATAAAGAGATATTTCCCTCTACCATTTTTAGAAAATGTCTTGTGCTAGTAACTTTTATTAAATAGCTATGTTTTTCTGTACAGTTTTCAGTAGGCACTGCCCTCATTTATTCATGGATCCTTTATTTATGGAAACATCAGTGGGCATTAATTAAACTCCCAGGATGGAGCACACAACTGCAAGTTTAAGTAAATTGGAGCTTCATCTTTGAAATAAGGCTCATGTCACTTTAAGTAGATTCTCGGTTGCTACTCTTGAATCAGGCCTTGAACTATGCTGGAACACAACAGCATATAAACATCCCTTCTAGGAGCTTTTTCATGGTCCCCAAATTTTGACTTTTATCTTATGAAATATAAGCCACATTTAAATCAGGTGGTAGCATCTGCCTGACTATGCAGAGAGCCTGAAAAAACAGATCAGAGAAAAGAATTTTTACTGTTGACTGAAAGGATTGCTGTGAATTCATTCTTGCGAATGCCAGCAATAAACTTCTGCCATGAGGTTTGTTTCTGTTTATTATTATGAACGAGTGTGAAGAAAAAGCAGGAAAAAGAAGGATTGTACCTGCTACATAGCTGTATACTTGCTAAAGGAACATCATACTTTGGCCCATGCATAAATGAAGCTGGGCACAATGGACTCGTCTTTCTTTCAATTTAATAAGTTATTAAATGGAAGGGAGGCATTGGCACGTTCACACTTAGCAGCTAACAAGACAAATCCAGAGCTCCTAATGTGACTAATAGGTATATCTGAATTCATTGGAGGGACAATCAGTCTAAAAGGCTCATAAACTGTACATCGCAGTCTGACCAAGGTGCATTGTCGCCCGCTGGCAGTCTGAGAGAACTCCTTTTTTAAAAAAAACAAAAAAAGCAAACCAAATTCAACTTTTTCCAAAAAAGGGTGTCTTGAGGTTCCTTCTTTTATTTGGCAAAACTGAAAGGCTATTAAGGTTTTTTAAATCTTTTTTTGAATATTTTATTTTTTCAAAATTAATGAATAGACTGTCACTAGCAGGTGGCAAAAAAAAAAAAAAAAGTGGGCAAGACATCAAGTTGAAGAATTTGTTTCGTGGAGCTGACTTGTTACGTTTTTGCCTGGTTTTAGGGGCAGACACATAAAAACCTGTAGGTGCCAGAAGCAAAAAAGCCTTAGGTTTCTTCCTCTCCATCTGGTTTGAGCTGCTGTCTAAGCCTATAGACACACAAAGTACACGTTTAGTAGTGCCTGAGTCCTCGCAGCAGTTCAGTACCTCACTGACATTGGACTGTCACAGGATCCACCCACAAGGCATTACTGTTCCTTCTTTACATACAGACATCCTAGAGCATGAGTCCAGCTTGTCCTAAAAATGTATTATTTATTATTTTTGTATCATTATTCTTTTTAGAGCTGTAGCCCCTTTATCCTGTCTTCTGAGGAAGAGTACGAGCAGGGGCAGTTAGGGGAAGGTTATCTCCAGCTTCCAGTCGTAGTAGTTGTCTCCAGCTTCTAGCCACAGCTCAGGTACTTTCTGAGCCAAAGGTGTAACTTTGTGACTAGTAGCCCAAGGTGGTTCTCTTCTTCTATGAATTTGTCTTTTGGATTTGTTTTTTATTAGTTTTGTTTTCTGAATCCATTTGAACTCTTTGCATCTACAAAGCTCTGCGGCAGAGTTCATGTAATACGTGATTAATCTATGAAGGAAACACCAATTTTTAGTCTGAATCTGCCATCTTCCAACCATGCTAGAGAGCAGGAAGGAATCCAGGCTGTGTAGTCTGTAAGCTAAACAAGCCAAGATGAAAAAGCAAGACAGAAAAGCAGTAGTATTATCCTCATGATTTGCTGCTCAAGGCTTAATTTGGCAGTGGAAATATGCCACAGGATGGCACCGGCACCAAGAAGTGAGCGTGATGGGTTTTTCTAAGGGAAACAAGAGTAGTCAGAATTATAACAGATAATGTTTAAAATAGAAAAAGAGTTGGAAGAAAGCCAGAATTCCTTGCTAATATCTAATCTATGGAGTAGGAAGGGAAGCGTGCATAGCAACATATGGTGCTGCTCACTGCTGGAGACAGCATTCTGTGGAAAATACTTTCTGAATTTGGGCCCGTGGTGCTGGTTCCCATGTCCTGTTTTAGAGGTGGGAAATCGAGAGCTGCCATGGTTGCCCAGGGTGCACAGTAACAGGGTAAAGTAAAATGCCATAGCCACAAAGTGACAAATTCCAAATTTAATTTTTTTTGGGGGGTGGTTTGAAGCCTTTCTGATCATTTCAGTGAAATTAGGGCAGGAAAAAGGGTGGGAATGTGATGTAAACTGTCTTCCTGGGAGGATGTATGTATTCATCTTACAAAACAAAACAGCCATTAAACCAAGTCTGATCTCTATTCATGTATGAGTACTTATTGGTATTCTGTGAACTAGAATGTGCTTTTTAAACTCAGTAATTATTACAGGAGATTTTTAATAATTCTCTCCTTGTGACCGTCCCTTTATTTTTATTGCATTTATGAAATAAATATAGGAGCTCCCAGAAGGTGAATGTAATATTATTTTGTGCTCACCTTTCATTTGGGACTCTATGAGAAGTTTATAAACATCAATTAAGTTTCACCATGCTGCCATGTGGGAAATAAATTTTCTTACACCCATGTTACAGATGGATAAACAAATAGTAGCTAAATAACTTGGCCAGGATCATGTAGCAAATTGGGAATAGAGTTCTTGCACTGTCTCCCAGTCCTTCGCTTGGTGCTAACCAGTAAGCATGCTGCCACATAGTTTATTTACATTTTGAAGCTGTTTTTAATGGACAAAGTTGCCAATTCTTTTTCTTCTGAATCATCAAAAACTTGCCAACATTTTATTTTAATAAAGCTTTCAGTTACTCAGGCTGGTATTTATAGCTAATGTTTATCCTCACCTTTGGTTGCTTCCAACATTTGTGTTTGCTGTTAGCACAGGATGCTAGCAAGCAAAGCGCAAATATTTTTTGTGGTTCCTTTTAAGGCGTGTTCCCACTGACAACAGTAGCTTTTGGATCAGTTCCTCAGTCTCCCTCCAGTGCCTCAATTAGTTTCGTTTTTCCTTGCACAATGTCCTTTCAATTTTTTAACATTTTTATGATGATGGTTGATAAGGCATGCCCAAGAGGACATAGTGAGGAGCTTTTTTTTTTCTATTGTGGATTCATAATCACTCAGGTTGAGCTGACTACCGAATTTTTTTTTTTTTTGAATTTGCCATCATAACCTTTTTTTTCCCCTGTGTTGTGTGTAGCCACTTTCAGCCCAGGAATAAAATTGTGGGTGGAAATGGAAAGCTTGTTGTTGTTTTCATTACCCCCTGCTTCCATTTCACGATATGGCAGCATTGGGTAATGAAAACTTGGCCATGGAGGTTCTTTAAAGGTAATCTCGGTGCTCCTTTGTGCATGATATTGATTATGAAGGTAGAACGACTACTGTTGTAGTTACTCTATGACACTGGAGGATTTCTTCTTCCATGTGAAAAACTCGTCATTTTTGTTACTGTAATGGAAGTTCCTGGAATTATTTCTCCTGGAAGCAAGGTTGGGCCAAAGAAAACTGGACTGGTATTAATGTCCTGATGACTTCCAAATTTTAGGGACAGTCTCCTAGAAGAAAGCTATCCTTACTAACATATGAGATTTAGAAATGCCAACTGGTTCTCTCTCACTTTGGCACTGAAACAGACACTCATTAGAACAGATGGGTAGGTATGCTATGACAATTTTCTTTGTAATAACCAACATTATTATTTAAAAATATGTCACACTGTACCTCAAATATTGGTTTAGGGAGCAGTTAGCTGAAGTCCATTATTACCATGAAGAGACTGGTCACGGTTAAGTCTGATTCCAGACAAAATCCAGTCATATGATGCATACATTAATCCCCGCAGGGTGACTGCGAAAGTATGGTTAACAAGTTACCTGTGTATAAAGGAATATGTGAAGAAGATGCACATAAGCATTTGAAGCTGCCCAGACAGGTATTTTGCCTCACAAGGGGCTAGCAGCCTGTTTAGGCATTAGTCAAGCACCGCAGCAGCCACTAGCTGACTGCTTACCATTCGGGCAAGTGATAATCACACTAACCACGTTCAGGGGACAGTATTTCGAAACAGAAGGGAATAGCCGGGGGTGGGGGGGGTGGAGTGGGAGATCAAAGGACAACTTTGAAGGAAGAACTGACAGGCAAAAAGAGAAGATTTGAAAGAGAGGATTTTGACAGGGGGAGGGGAGAGAAGCAGAGAGGAAAGATCCCCAAATCAAATCCTCTTCTGTTTAAAAATCCTATTTCCTTGGATTGTGCTAAGCAACTAGATGCTTGGACTTGAGCTCTGAATGTGTTACAGTGGGTCAGCTGCATCTTGAAAGTTCAGATGAACCTTTGGAGCTGAGTGAAGCAGAAAGCTTCCCTTTAATCTTTTATTAAATTTTTCTATAAATTTTGATACTCTATTATCTCTTTAGCTTTGGTCAATAAATAGTTGTTGTTGTTGATGTTACTATTATTATTATTATTATTTTAACATTTAACTTAATTTGGCTTGTGTTCAGCTTGATTTCAGGGTGCTGGCAAATGCCAAGATAAATTATGTCTTCTCAGCAAGCATCCATTTTCCAAAAGGAATCTCACCACCTGCACAGGTCATAATCCCTTCAGCCACATGGACCACTTTATGAGCCAATAACACAGCGATCTATGCAGAAGGAGCATGTGGAAAAAGTACAGAATAGCCTAACCCTCAAGCAAGTGTGTGGTGGTATTCCACATTTAGTTTACAAGCTGTTTTACAAAATTGAGTA